TCTGCCGCGGAAAACGGCGGCCACGGTAAGGTAACGGCCGTGCCTCGGGTCGCAGGCAGCCATCATGTTCTTAGCGTCGAACATCTGCTGGGTGAGCTCGGGTACAGAGAGCGCCGAATATTGTTGCATGGATCTGGACGTGAGAGGGGCGAAGCCTGGCATGAAGAAGTGCAGACGGGGGAACGGGACCATGTTCACGGCAAGCTTTCTCAGATCCGCGTTCAATTGGCCGGGGAACCTCAGGCAAGTGGTCACCCCCGACATAGTGAGCGAGACAAGATGATTCAAGTCCCCGTAGCTAGGATTCGACACCTTCAACGTGCGGAAGCAGATGTCGTAGAGGGCCTCGTTGTCGATGCAGTACGTCTCGTCCGTGTTCTCGACCAATTGGTGGACGGACAGGGTGGCGTTGTAAGGCTCCACCACAGTGTCCGACACTTTGGGCGACGGCATCACCGAGTACGTGTTCATTATTCTATCAGGATATTCCTCCCGAATCTTGGAGATTAGCAACGTGCCCATACCGGATCCTGTCCCACCGCCCAGGGAATGAGTCAGTTGGAAACCTTGCAGGCAATCGCAGTTCTCGCATTCCTTCCTGACCACGTCCAGCACCGAGTCGACCAACTCCGCCCCCTCGGTGTAGTGCCCCTTCGCCCAATTATTGCCCGCCCCTGATTGCCCGAACACGAAATTGTCGGGGCGGAACAGTTTCCCGTAGGCACCTGATCGAACGGCGTCCATTGTTCCTGGCTCCAGATCAAGAAGAATCGCCCTCGGCACGTACTTTCCTCCATTGGTCGAGGTCGCCACTGCAATCGCAATATTTTTCTGATTTTATACGAATTGGGAGAGCGTATCGTGGGGTGAGGGAGCGAGAGAGGATGGGAAACGGTATTCGTTCGATCCTTAAACGGGAGAAGGTAGGGGGTGGGGGAGGACACGCAAGCGGCCTCCGAAACCAATGACGGATCGAGCGTATGGTCGTTCATATTAAACAGGTTCGTATTGAAACGTATTGTCATTCCACCGAAACCGGCGTGTCGCGACGAACAGATAACTTTAAATGGTGGACGGAAACGCGCGGCGCGATTTGCAAATCGGATGCACACCTTGTGCCGACCTTTTATCTTTTTTGCGCGAGGATCTTTCGTTTCAGGGTTCAAAAGCCAAGGGTGGTGAAACGGTCATACGTAGCGGCTATTTTCGTCGCGAAACGCGTTTACTCTTTGTCGCTTGTTTTCTCCTACGTTCCTCGGCGTCGTGTCGCCGCGTACAACGCCGTGTTTCTATTTTAAAACGTGCGCGAGATCCTCGAACCTGGACCGAGTAAGATCTTTCTTCCCCGCTGGATCTGGCTTTCACGTGCGCCAGATTTTTCGAAAATGCGAACATCTCTCGAGAAAGTTTCTTCGAGGAGAAGAAAGATGGAAGGAATGAAAAAGGAGTTTTTATATTTCTCTCTCTCTCTCTCTCTCTCTTACCAGAAGCCTCGTTATAGTAGACGGAAATTCGCTCCAATTGCAGATCGCTATCTCCATGATAAATGCCCGATTGGTCGATGCCGTGCTCCTCGGAGATCACTTCCCAGAACTAAATGAAAAATGAGAAAAAAGAG